AATATGGATAAAAATTGAACATGCTTAAATAGTTTTGTTTGAAACAAATCATGATAAATCAATATGGCATGTTTCATTGTAAAATAAAAAAAAAAAACTGTTTTTGTGAGGTAAACGTGTTTATTTCCAAACATTTTTTCATTAAACAGATAATGCTGTGCGAAAATAATTTTTAGTTTATTCTATGATATATATATAATATAGATATATTATATTCTCTTGTTCCTCTTGAGATAAAATAATAAACAGAATATTTTACACATACTCAAAGTTATCCACAAATGCCTCTTTATTTAAACAAATTTGAGTCAAAATTACCAGTACTCAATAATTAATTGCAAATATTTTATTTTTATTTTAAGTATATATGAATTATTTTTAAGTATAAAATTTCACAAAACCCTTATTTGTATAATTATTTACCTTTCACTACAAGACCACAAATTATGCATAAAATCAAACGTAAAACAGAACAAAGGTCATAGCATTGTAGTTACGTCAAAACAATGCGTGGGATTTCATGTCTAATAAACTGCTATACATTTTTTATGATGGTCGTTTGATGAAGTTGATTGATTTATCTCAATTCCATATCCCCCTTTGTAAGAACCATGTTTCAACATTGAGCTATAAAAAAGAAATTCAAGTGCAAAATCAAATCATTCAATTTTAGTGACAGAGATTTGGTTCATTATATGAGATCTCGCAATGAACTGAAATTTACATATTGCATCAAACCTTAAATCAACGAATGTTATGAACTAATTACAATCAATACAAACAACTCTAAACTCAAATTCATCTAGATTAAAATAAGGCTAAATTAAATTTTACATAGAGGGTGTGGCATTTTTTTATTTGCATATTTTTGTATATGTGCGATCAGTAATTACTTCATGCATCTGTACAGCTGGGTGTAGCTGGGAGCAATGAATTGATGGAAAGTGTCCGTCCCCACTTATATATTTAGTTCGTCATAGTAATATTATATCTTTTGCAGAATACTGTTTTGACTAATTCTGTCTGCAACATTTTTTATCAAATATTTTTTCTTCTTTATGGCAGTATTAATCAAGCAGCCTGTTGACCAATATTCATATAACTTTGCAACTTCACCAGACAGAAACTACATGTACGAAAACAATCTGATCTAGTGAAATTAGGAAAGGTCGATACCAACAAATTCCAGATATAATCATATGTTTGGTTGTATTTTATCTATCTGTGCTGCACTGCACATGCCCACCGCTCTTCAAGCAGCGGTATCCAGGCAATCTAACTTGCAGATTGGAAGAAATCAAAAAAGTGTTACGAAACATGCGGACGTAATCATTATGTCATGACTACAAAACTTCTATTAAAACCTATTATTTAACTTTTTCGATTTTAAACATAATTTACTAAAATTATGCATTTCAAATTACTTTCTTTTTAGTCAACTATTACAAGAAAATGCTTAAAACGAGCAACGATACATAAATAAGTACTTATGTTAATTATATTAAATTAATTTAACTGATAATAATAAATAATTAATGATTAAATTTCACAGTCTGACGAGTGAATTTAAAAAAAAATTAAATTAAATATTTTGGATGCACATAAACCTCTAGTCAAAGTTGCACTTCAATGAAAGCAAAATATGTCTGGTGGTAAAATAAAATATCATGATATAAAATATTGTAAGCTACTTATTTGAACACTATGTGTCCCACCCTGTATGTGTCCCACCCTGTATGACCTCATCCCATAATGTAATACAAAATGGAAACAAAATAAAACGGTAACTCCAATGCATAATAGCATTTCAGCCTCAAAATGACTGAATATGTACTGGGGATTAGGAGCACAATTTAAGATAAAATGCTGAACAAAAATAAAAATATTATCATATTCTTTATTTCTACATATTTGATATATTTCATGGAATTGAAAATCACTGTATTTGGTTCGCGGAAAATCGGTGAACAAAACGGAGTGAAAATAGCATGTTTTGTCTGTTCCTTGGGCATTTATCATTGTTTCCTATGGAACGGATATATATCTTAAAATTGTTCTCAATGACATATGATATGGTGAAAAAAAGAACTTTTTGATATGAAGTATTACACAATTGACAATATATTGACAAGGTTTTTATCAAGCAAATGTGTTTTCATTGTAGCCTACGGAAACCGCATCTAAAAAGGCATTTTATGCATATTATTTTACCATTTACCAACAGATTGACAGTAAAGCAAAAAAATTCACCTACTGTTGACTAATACTAAAACAAAAAATTGTAGACAGATTTAAATACAAAATATCGCTACAGCCATATGCGCACAATGAAAAACTTGTATATAGCATTCTATCTTGAATAATGTTTATCAATGCTGTCAACCTTGACAGCACACACTAAATATACCATAGTTGTCCGGCTAAACACCCAAGCCTGGGCAAACACCCCCCCCCCCCCATTTTGATACAATGTCACGCCGATGAGTTCACGGGTATTGGGCGTGTTTGCGACAGGGAAATTCTTATCAAATGATTCCTTACTGTTGATTTTTCTGGTTTATTTGTCCCATTATGAGCAATCAATTATTTTTGTTATACTTCTAATGTTGCATATTGTTCATTTGTTTTCGTTGCATGTTTTCATTTGCCATTCTATTCCCTGCCACAGTTTTTCACAAATATTCGTTTTTTTTGGCAGGGGATGTCTACCTACCACTATGTTTTGGCAATTTTCCATGTTCAAGACCGTGGGCGCTTACCTGAACAAGTACGGTAGATCATAAAAAAAATAACAAACATAAAAAATGAAATAAAAATGAACTAATCTGGGAGGAAACCATCCATCCCATTTCCATACATATATGAATCAAAACTACACTTGCACATAAGTGTTTTAACCAAAAATGATCAAACATATTCACCAGAAATACATGGAGGAGATCAATTCCCCCACTTGATCGATAATTTCTCATCACATTATCACAAGTTCCACTTTAGAAACAGCTGACAGTAAACTAAATAATACTAATGACATATCTGTCGATAAAAAGGGAACCTTCCACAATGTACCACTAATTGCTGTCTACATGCTATGACATTGTTAGGCAATTTTCCCCCATTCACAACTGCCATTAAAGCATTGAGTCCAGACGGAGCAGTATATTTTGTCTAGCCTTATTCAGGTGCATGTAGTGAAACTCATTCAATCAAATTCTTAAATTGACGACTCATAAACACATTCCAGTTTAGTCTCAGAAATACATAAGAAAATGATTAATTAATAATATCATGGTTATGTGAATGATTTTGTTTTTTATTTTCAAAATATTTGCCATTTTTAATTGCCTTAAACATTAATATAAATATACTTCTAAATATCATACAAAGTCAGGTTAAGATAGTGCAGTATTCGTTCTAAGTTCAATTTGTGTTTTATCAGTGAGAAGCCCAACTTTCTCAATGAAATTAAGTGAATTCGATACAATTCATGCATTTCCTTTCAAAGACACTTGATTCAAGATGAAAAAATATTTCTCAGTGCAAGTGACAGTTCTTACCTTTCCTGAAGTAATATCCGGGTGGAGTACCATCAAGGCAATAAGCTCCCTTCTCATTGGCTAATTCTGTTGGTATCAAAACCAGCTCACCATAACTTTGAGGATGAGGTTTGCTTCTCACAGACAAATACCAAATCAACCAAACTAACCATATCAGCAGCAACACCACAATAAACATCCACTTAGTACATACATAGTTGGAAATTTTACGCTGATAAAACTTGAACTTTTTCTTCCTCTTGAGGTGACCTCCATTCATCTTGTCTCCAACTTTAACGTAACCGTCTGTTAAACCGCGAAGCTTTTCCGGCATGATAAAACCTAGACTGACCATCTGCATGTGATTGCAGTCAGAGAACCGAAGTGACGATGAATAGAGAGTTATCGATGAATTCCGTCTTCAGTACTGAGAAAAAAAAATCTTGCTAGAGGCACTAGGTTTCCATGGATACCATAATTGACATTATATATATTACTGTGTATATATTATTTCATGTGTTCTAGAGAAAGAAAAGAAGAAGAGATACATCAATAATGAAGTGCTAACTGCAAACGATATGTTCTTCAGTTTAATGCCACGAAAGGTTATAGAAATAGAATCAAAACATGAATCAATAGTGAAATCAATAAAGATGAATTGAGAAACAGAACAAATTGCTTACATACTGTCACTCGAGCGAATTGCTAATTTTTCAAAAATACAAATGAATATATAATCTGAAATTTAAAATGAATACTGGCTCTCTCATTTCCACAGGTATACTATTTTTATATTATGTGATATAAAACAAAATTCGATTTTAGTGAGTTAGGAAAAAAAATTATGACATATTGCAGCAGTGAATATTTAACACTGAGGATGATTTTCACAAAATTATGTTCTCAAATTTAAGCTCTCAAATTTCAAATAGTGAACCCTTCTAGTGGAGAAAACTGTTTACAGTAATTTTTCATTAAAGCGTGGTCGTCGCACGGGCGTGAATTTCATGTAAATAAACCATGTATTTTACACGCGATGTATACGTCGCTATGAGTCCCATATCGAACAGGACGCGGCACGACGACTGCCGCCCTTTAACATAGCATAGCAACAATTCAAGTATTATATTAATAATTACTACAAAATTCTGTTCCAAACTCACAAAATTTGAGTAAAAGCTAAATTGTGGTGCCCACTGTGACAACACAGAATGAATTTTCAATGCTTCAAATATCTTTTAGACCAAGACTCGCTTTTCAATCCTAGCATAATCCTTGATAACACGGCACCACAGTATTCAAAAAAACATACCCTACTCTTTTTTTTGTCTATGCTTCTACCAGCATGTATAGTGGATGACATGCAAACAGAAATAGATTGATATGCAAATGAACCATGGTGAACAACAGCTTGTGCTGATGTTATCTATCATTATTGGGTGTGATCAAAAATGAAATGACTCAATTCATACATTCTATTATAAAAAGCGATTAATATCTTTTTTGTTTCGCAAACTTGTTGGATAATATAACGAGTCCCCTATAGCATCTGAGTGCGTGGGGTGTCTTTAAAACTGTTTCTTTGTTTCATCATAGACATACTAAGAGCATATTACACTAGACAACAAGAGAGGCAGACAGCTAGGAGATTTTGTTTTTCTAATTAATTTAATGTTATTCCTAATTTCATTGCTTCCTTATGTTAATAAAAATACCAATAAAGAGAGCTGCAAATATAATTGGAGCCCAAAATATCCATTATTTCAAAACACATTATTTTAACAAAAATTTGAAATAAAACGGGAGTTATAAAATAGAAAGTGGGGTTCGGGCAGTTGTTTTTATGAAACCCATATACTAACAACAGTCTGGTTGATATGCTGTATATTCCACTGAAAATAAAATGAGCGATCATGAAATATTGGTCTTACTTTTATATATTTTATTTTCAGAATAAACACAAATCAGCCCTACCATTTGAAATACTCTGCTAGAAAAAACATGTATTGAACGAAGTACTCGTGTAAGTCATTGTGACATTGGAGCATAATAGCACCCCAGTCAGAGTTTCCATGATATGGTACTACATCAACTTGATGTTAATATACAACTATGTACCTGTGTAATGCAATATAACTATCAATCAAGGTATCAAAAAAATGTATTGACTTGATTCATTTAAATAATATACTGTAACCAAACGTTTGGCCCATCCATACGGCGACCTGGTCTGACCATCACCTGGACATAGACATAGATGATGGGGTATGTACAGTGACCTGGCTTGTGCATTCAACCTCGTACGGTGCGGACTGTAAAACGATGGTGGAACTGATTTCATGATTGTGACTTAGTCATATGCTTATCATCCACAATATACAACAGACTTACCTTGTTATGTCGGTGCTATGTATGAATACCAAAACCAACGCAGAGTGCGGCTATTATAGACGTGTCGCTGCTGTTCCGCAAACACTCGCTATCAACACTTTTACGATATGGGCCCTCTAGGGTATTGAACATTTTCATGTACACAATCCGGGAATACGCTGGGGGTTTGTTCCAAAAAATGAGCCTGTTGTGGGATTAATTGTAGCCCGATCACAGGGTTAAAGCATTACAGAACACAGTTAATCTAAATTATTCCATTACCTTAAGACTGTGTAGGTCGGTTGCAATAAAAAACACTACCGTATTTATTACACATCTACTTCACATTCTACCGTTAAATATTCAATGTCTTAGGGGTGCTCCTTGCTCTGTTCTCACGCAAGCAACAATTTGTTGGTGTCTGGCTCAGAGAAACGTCTAAACTGTTTTCCACATGAAACATATGGAGCAATGACCATTTAAAAATAATGACAATTTGTCAGAAGATCTTTTTTTCCATGGTCATTCTCAAAAATTCAATTATGCAAATAAAGGCAGATATTACGTACTATTATACGCTCATGTGAAATAAAGTGACTCCCGTAACTGTATTTATTTATTTATTTA